AAAAATTCTCGGTTATTATTATTATTTTATTATTATTATTGTTGTTGTCGTTGTTGTTGTTGTTGTTGACGTTGTTGTTGTTGTCGTTGTTGTTGACGTTGTTGTTGTTGTATTATAATTATTATAATTATTGTTGTTGCTGCTGTTGCTGTTGTCGTTGTTGTTGTCGTCGTTGTTGAGTAGTAGTAGTAATAGTAGCAATAAATGTCATCATCATCATCGTCGTCATCGTCATCACCTTTAGGACAACATCAACGACATCTTCAACGATGATGACGTCACCCAGAAATCAAACGAAGACGATGAAGATGACGACGACGATGAAGACGAGTGTCAGGGAATTTTGCTGTCATGGAGACAGAACGAAATAGGGATGTGCAAAACTCTGAAGGAACTTTCCCTGGGGTCCAGGGATGGCCGGGCCGACTGTATAAAATTTCTAGAATATTATAAGTGGGAGTTCATAGTTGCTGCTGTCGTTATTATTATTATTATTGCTTTTGTTGTTGTTGTTGATGTTGTTGATGTTGTTGTCAATGTTGCTGTTGTTGATGTTGTTGTTGTTGATGTTGATGTTGATGTTTTTGTTATTTATTTTGGTAACAACGCAACATCAATAACTTCAACGTCAACATCAACAACAACAACAACAACATCAACAACAACATCAAAAGACACCAACTAGATTTGTTGGCTAACATGTGCCTGGACAGGCAGTATCTGGCTATAAACTATTTGGCGCCAAAAATGACCAAATCAATGCTATTAAGGTAAATGAACGAACGAACGAACGAACGAACGAATGAATGAATGATCGAACGAACGAACAAATGAATGAATGAATGAAATGCCAGAGTCATAACAGACGGTAGAGTTTCATATACGTTGCGATCTTCCTTCTGCGGCTTGTTCTTCCACCTCCATCTGAATAGAGACCCGCAGGTTATGATGATGATGTCGGTGATGATGGTGATGATGATGGTGGTGGTGTTGATGATGGTGGTGGTGATTATGATCATCATCGTCGTCGTCGTCATCATTATCAGGAGGTCGTAAGCCCGATAAACTACGCCCGATTGTGGTCAGAAGTGTCCAGTGTTGACGGCTCATCCGAGTGAGTTTCGATAATGATGAGGCTAAATAATCATAATAATAATAATAATAATAATAATAATAATAATAATAATACGATAATTATGAGGCTAAATAATAGTAATAATAATAATAAACTATCTCATCAATCGATCAATGAAGCTTTGGTGACAAGACGACGACGACAACATCAACAACAGCACCATCAACAACGACATCAACAACAACATCATCAACAACGACATCAACAACAACAACAAAACTATCGCCACCATTCAACCAATTAGCAACTGTAAACCAATCGACCAATCAATTATCATCGACTTCATGCAACCAATCAAAATACATCTCCAACCAATCAACCGAGAAAAACACCGACGACCAATCAGCGAACTCCATCAACATGGCCAACCAATCATCGGTGGTCAATTTTCAAACGAGTAGCCAATCAAAGAAGAAAAAGTTTAATTCACTAATGTCTTTCATTCAATCCTATCTCACCGAGTTGAACAACGCTAAAGATATGTTTGACAATAAAGAGAAAAACGAATTGACATTTCAGGCATGTATGAATGAATGAATGAATGAATGAACGAACGAACGAACCTACGAACGAACGAATGAATGAATGAATGAATGAATGAATGAATGAATGAATGAATGAGTAAAAGGTTGACTGATGATAAATAATTTTTTTTCACTTAAATGTTTTAACAATTATTCATCTAGTTTTATCATTCATTCATTCTTTTATCTATCTATCCATCCATCCATCTGCTTATTCATTAATCTACTCATCCATCCATCCATCCATTCAAAACAGGTCGTGAAATTAGCTAGATATTTGATATACTTCGGCTTCTACAGTTTCAGCGAGCTTAGATCGATGTCGAAATCTTTGCTGAAAATTTTAGACGGGGTCCCAAATAAGTTAATCGTGAAAGAATGTTCCGGTTACTACTATTATTATTATTGTTGTTATTATTATTATTGTTGTTGTTGTTATTGTTGTTGTTGTTATTTTTGTTATGGTTTTTCCAAAAAAATCTCGCCAGATGGCTTGATGGACATGAAATTTTCCGAAGACGAGGACCAAGAGATGCTGATCATCGAGACGAAACTATTCATCGTTGATATTTTTCAAGTTCATTCTCTCCTTCTTTAATTCATTCATTCATTCGTTCATTCATTCATTTATTCATTCATTCATTTATTCATTCATTCATTCATTTGTTCGTTCGTTCGTTCATTCAGTACCTGATGAACTTACGGATGGATTTCGTGATATCCTGCTTGCTATCAACATTTAAAAAGTTCTTCAATCATTCATACAAGGACGATTCTTTGGATAGTTGGTGATGATGATGATGAAGACGACAACGAAGACGATGATGATGATGATGATGACGACGACGATGATGATAATGATGGCCACGGTGATGATGATGATGATCAATAAAAATGAGGACAACACTTCATTTCAGAGAAAATGATTGATGAGATCTTGCAAAAAGCTAAACAGCTGATATCCAACTGGTAGATCTCATTCATTCATTCGTTCGTTCGTTCGTTCCTTCATTCATTCATTCATTCATTCATTCATTCATTCATTCATTCATTCATTCATTCATTCATTCATTCATTCATTCATTCATTCATTCATTCATTCATTCATCCATTCATTCATCCATCCATTCATTCATTCATTCATCGATTCATTCACTCATTCACTCATTCATTCACTCATTCATTCACTCATTCATTCACTCATTCATTCACTCATTCACTCATTCATTCACTCATTCATTCATTCATTTATTCATTCACTCAATCCAAGCGTCGATTCTTCGGAGAATGATAGCAAAAGTGAACTTAGATTCTTAAGAGTGCTCTTGAGTCTCGTCCTGTACAACTACCCACAGCTCGTGACTGCCTCTCTCAAGCTAATTTTCAGGTTATGCTAGCTACGATTGTGATGATGACGATGACGATGAAGATTGTGATGATGATGATTACGATGATGATTGTGATGATGACGATTATGATGATAGTACTGATGTTTTTACAGGCATTTTAGTCAGAAACAAGAGACCATTTCAGCAATAAAACAAGTAAATTTTTTACCTACATACACACAACCACACACACACACACACACGTACATACATACATATACACACACACACAAACAAACACACAAATACATACTGTCAGATTGCAAACCCTAACGAATTAAAACTAACAATTATCAATAATAAATGTAAAACTTAAAAGGTACAGCTATTGATAACTTACTCTGACTCCAAAAATTACAAGCAAATAAAATGCGACCTAGAGGAGTTGAGATTACTGGTTGAGAAGTCAGAACTTTGGGTCACCAAAAAAAAATCTACTAACAAAGTTTGTTGATTGATTGACTGACTGACTGACTGACTGATTGGTTGGTTGGTTGGTTAGTTGGATGGTTGGTTGGTTGGTTGGTTGATTGGTTGATTGGTTGGTTGGTTGGTTGATTGGTTGGTTGGCTGGTTATTTGGTTGGTTGATTGGTTGATTGATTGATTGGTTGGTTGGTTGGTTGGTTGGTGTTTGGTTGGTTGGTTGGTTGGTTGGTTGGTTGGTTGGTTGGTTGGTTGGTTGGTTGGTTGGTGTGTTGGTTGGTTGGTTGGTGTGTTGGTTGGTTGGTTGGTTGGTTGGTTGGTTGGCTGGCTGGGTGATTGGTTTGTTTTACTAAATCTGTCACGGTTGAATTTGTATAGGTATGCAATTCATTATCATTAATATTATTATTGTTGTTATTATTTACATTAATATAATAATAATAATTATAATTATAATAAATTTTATTTCCCTTATCTTTCAGAATGATGAAGGCGGAACAAGCGCAACTCACAGAAACTATTCAATCGTAAAAAATATTTTAAACAGGTTAGTTAATTATCATTGCTATTATTATTATTATTATTATTATTATTATTGTTAATATTATTATATTATTGCCTTTATAAGAATAATTATTATTACTATTTATTTTTATTATTATTGCTGCCCTATGTCACATTACGTCACACGAACTGTCGATAAGAATAATTTCATGACCAGCTGACGTAATGACGACGACGATAATAGTTATAATTATGATTATAATGATTATTATGATTATTATTATGTTTATTATTATTATTATTATTATTGTTGTTGTTGTTGTTGTTGTTATTATTATTAATATATTTTTAAAATATTTAAAATTTTTCATCAACTTGTAGGATGATTTTAGTGTGCAACAACTCCTCAATCGGCCACCACCAACATCCTGGCGGCCACGAGGGTCAGGGGTCGTCCCAAGGTCACACAGCTCCCAGATCATCTCAAGGTCAGAGGCCAGTTCAGAGTCGAAGTTCAAGGGCGTACAATCAGAGGTTGTTGAAAAATTTAGGGGTGCACGAGGCAATGATTGAACTCTTGCAGATTCAATACGACAAGGTTATAATAATAATAATAATTATTATTATTATTATTATTATAGCAATAATAATAATAATAATATAGTATAATAATAATAAACAGAAGAACGACAGATCGATGAACGAAATAATACAGCTCGTTCACATCTTCATTCAGAACTTCTGCTACAGAAACCCGGCCAATCAGAATTTAATCCATCAAAATTTTAACTTATTCCTATCGCCAGGAGTTAATAATATTATTATTATTGTTATAATTGTTGTTATTGTCATTATTATTAATATTCTTGTTGTTATAGTTATTATTGCTGTTATTTTAAAATGCAAGATGATCTGTTTTTCAATCATACTTTTAAGTCTACCTAAATCATTTCGAGAATTTTAACCTATATTTAACATTTTACGATAATCCTGACGGCAATTTTCACCAAACATTTTAAACCACCATCTTCACCAAACATTTTAACCACCATCTCCACCAAACATTTTAATCACCATCTTTACAACTATCTTAATCCAACGTCTTCACCAAACATTTTAATCACCATCTTTACAACCATTATAATCCACCATCTCCACCAAACATTTTAATCACCATCTTCCCCATAATTTGTGTCGCGATTTTTCAGATCTTAGAATGCGAAACGGCCTGCTTCATATACAAAGACAATGCAAATTTGTGTGCAAATCTCTCTCAGAGCACGGTCCAGCATTATATAACCTGCATAGAAAAATATGGTCGGAAGTCAGAGTATCTGAAGTTTCTTCAAATTATCGTTCGATCTGAGGTTATGAATAGTGAAGATGACGAAGACGATGATGATTCTTCTGTCGGTGCTGGTAATGATGCTCAACAGGTTGGTTGGCTGGTTGGAGTTGGTTGGTTGATTGGTTGGTTGGTTGGTTGGATGGTTGGCTGGTTGGTTGGCTGGTTGGTTGGCTGGCTGGTTGGTTGGTTAGTTGGCTGATTTTTTTAAAATTTTCAAGTTAAATTGTACGGTTCGTGTTTATATGCTTAAAGAAATTTGAAATAAAATTAACTTTTAAACTCTTCAGAAGACGTATGTGTACCACAGAAAAGCTCAAGACATGATAATGACGGGTGTAAGATGGATTCATTGATTCTCTTTTTCTGTCATTCGTTCGTTCATTCATTCGTTCGAACGTTCGTTCGTTCGTTCGTTTGTTCGTTCGCTCGTTCGTTCGTTCATTCATTCATTCAACCAATCAGCTGATGGATAGCAGCGAGGAAGTTTTGCACTTTTACACGGACTCCAGCTCCATCCAATCATTGGTCGAGAATATGAAATCTCAAATCGGGCCACTCGATCCCCGCTCCTCATTGGCTTATCACGTTGACCTTGTTAATTTATTAGCCTGTTGCACTGAAGGTCACACATTCATCTGTTGATCAGCTGTTCATTCGTTTTTAATTCGCTTACTTTACCATCTTTTCACTAGTTCGTATTCATTCATTTGTTCAATCAATCAACCAATCAATTAATTAATCAATCAATCATTTATTCAATTAATCAATCAATCAATCATTTATTCATTCATTTAATCAACCAATTAATAATTCATTCACTCAATCAATCAATCATTCATTCATTCGTTTATCCAGGCAAGAATGTTTTCACTGAAATCCGCTGTCACTCGCTGCTCTCCTTGGACAACATTGTTCAGGTCGTCTTACATCCTGATTGTATTATTGAAGTAAGATTTATTCATTCATTCATTCATTCATTCATTCATTCATTCATTTATTCATTCATTCATTCATTCATTCATTCATTTATTCATTCATTCAGTCAGTCAGTCAATCATTCATTCATTCATTCAATCATTCAATCATTCATTCATTCATTCATTCATTCATTTATTCATTCATTCGTTCGTTCGTTCGTTCATTCATTCACTCATTCATTCATTCATTCATTCCTTCATTCATTCACTCTTACGTTCCATTATTCAATCATTCGATTCAATCTAGGTCAAGCTGGCCTACGTAAACTTCCTCACTCACTGCTACATTGATACAGAGGTCGAGATGAAAGAGATTTATGCCTCGAATTATATGTGGCTCTTGATTGATAGTTTTGTAGTAGATATCAATCGAGTGAGTTAGTTGATTGATTGGTTGGTTGGTTGGCTGGTTGGTTGGTTGGTTGGTTGATTGGCTGGTTGGTTGGTTTGTTTGTTGCTTGGTTGGCTAGTTGACTGATTGATTTTTGGAATGAGGGTTGGTTGGTTGATTGGTTGGTTCATTCGTTCATTACTCATTCGTTCATTTATTTATTTATTCATTCGTTCGTTCGTACGTTCGTTCATTTATTTATTCATTTATTCGTTCATACGTTCGTTCGTTCATTTATTCATTCGTTCGTTCGTTCGTTCGTTCGTTCGTTCGTTCGTTCGTTCGTTCGTTCGTTCGTTTGTTCTCTCAGATGTGTGACCCAAACTACACAAGTACCCTGGAGACATTCAACATAAAATCTTGCTACCAATACGTCAGCCAGACCATCACGGCCTCGGTCGCCAGTTTTTTTGCTTCAGGCTTCTGCGATCAGTCTGCTGTTTCTCACGTGAGATGGTGATGAAGATGATGGAGAAGATGATGATGGTGATGAAGATGAAGATGATGATGATGAAGAGGAAGATGAAGAAGATGATGATGAAGATGGTGATGATGATGAAGAGGAAGATGATGATGAGAATTATGAAGAAGAAGATGATGATGGGGATGATAACAGATACGTGAATTTTCATTCGTCCGTCTCTTATTACCAGTCTCGCTTTCTCTCACTCCTTACGAGTATGACGTCACTGCTGACGTGTAAGGGTCTGACCTTGAAACAGAAGAAGCAGACGGAGAAATGCGTCAATGTACTCATCCAATTCGGTGACGTCATTTCTGCATTTTCGATTTTTTGTTTTCTCTGCATGGATGTAAAACATATTCCGAATTCTATATTAGTTTTTTTTTACCGGCGGTTGTGTTAATGTTATTATTATCCTCACAATCATCATCATCATCATCGCCATCATCATTATCATAACCGTCTTAGTCATTATTACTATCATCATCATTATCGTATTCATCAGAATCATCATCATCATCACCGTCTGCCTCAGCTAAAAATAGATCCATGAATTTGCCGGATGAACAGCTCGGCCGCATCTCACACATCATCAAGCGCATGACCTTCTCCGCCAAAATTCCCCAAAAAAAGATTCTAAATAATGACGACAATGACGACGATGATGGTTATGGTTATGATAGCCAAAGCGAAGGTGGTGATGATGATAATGGCTGTCACGGAGTGAGAGAAAGTGAAAGATATCACAAGAGGATAACAGAAGGACTGATGGTGAGTGAGTGAGCGAATGAATGAATGAATGAAATGAATAAACGAATGAATGAATAAACGAATGAATGAATAAATAAATAAATGAATGAATAAATAAATGAATGAATGAATAAATGAAAGTAATATAGACATGAATGTTACCAAGAAACTTATAACTTCAGAAGCAATTTTAACCGTAATAAAAACACGAAAAAATAATAAAATACTACTACTACTACTAATACTACTACTAATACTAATACTGCTACTACTACTACTACTACGACTGCTGCTGCTGCTACTACCACTTCTACAGAAAGTTACTACAATACTGGAGTACTTTATGAGGCCAATGGTGAAAAGCGAACTGAAGGGGCTTGTCGAGACATTGCATCATCCGGAGGAATACTTCCGTGATGACGATTGTAATAATAATAATGATAATAATAATAACAACAATAATAATAATAACAATAATAATAATAATAATAACAATTGCAACAACAACAATATTAGTAACAATACTGCCAACTTCAGCGAACAAAATAGCAACGTCAGCAGTAATAGTAATAGTAATAGTAATAATAATAATAATAACAACAATAATAATAAAGAAGGTGATGATAGTGATTGCTATAATGGGGGCTGGAAAGTTATGAAGAGGAAATGCAAGGAAGAATTTATACTGAGGTTGTGGCGAGGATGATGATGATGACGACGATGACGATGATGATGATGACGACGATGATGATGATGATGATGATGACGACGATGATGATGATGATGACGACGATGATGATGATGATGACGACGATGAACTTAGCTTTCAATTCCTTCTAAAATTTTTTTTTCATTCCGGATTTCCTCCCGAATTCCCCATTCACGACAACGATCCTGAAAGTTCCCACTCTATTTCTCAACTTATTCCCACATATTCACCCATATTCATTACTTTTATAAAACTTCATTTATTTATTTTATTTTATTATTTTTAAAATACAAAGGAAGCTTTTCATTTGCTGGAGGCATAGGAACGTCAGTTCGCGCCTCTCAGTTCTCTGTTTATATTATGTTATGTTATTTTATGTTATGTTATATTTCCATAGAGTCATACGGTTTATTTAGGGTGGTATACTGTCATATATAGCTATACATAGTTATAAAAAGTTATGTGTAGTTATTTAGAGTTATATAAGTTCATATGGAATTATATAGGATTACATATGGTTATATAGAGTTAAATATGGTTATATGGAGTTATATATGGTTATATAGAGTTATACAGGGTTATATAGAGTTATATTATCGCGTAAGTGTTTGCCTATGTGTATGCATCATTCACATGTGTACTAGTATACATATTCCATATAGACCAGAAAATGTATACGTATATAAATATAGGTAATATAATATATATATATATTATAGATATAATAATATAAAATATATATAGGCTTTTATTTTCGCACCTGGATAACCAACCCGAACACCCACACATCATTCTCGAACTGCAATTTTACACCTAAAATTTCCATCCCCTAAAATTGAGTTTTACCATTATTATTTTACCCATGGGAATCCCACGGAATGGAATGGGATTCCCGCTCCCATGCTCGCTTCTAATGACGATGACGACCGCAGACTTATCAGACACACGGAAAAATTGCTAGAAGAGAAGGAGGAACAGCTCTGCATGAGAGTTCTACAGACTTTGAAGGAGATGCTGAGTATGGGAGAGGCGAGTTACGATGATGATGGTGGTGGTGGCAGTGATGATGATGATGTTGTTGTTATTGTGGTTTTTAATGATGATGATGATTTTGTTGTTGTTATTGTTGTTTTTAATGATGATGATGATGATTGTCATTAATATTACACCTGCAGCGTATTGCTGATGACGATGACAGTACATGTGATGACGTCAACAACAACAACAATAACAACAACAACAGCCATGATGATGATGACGACGATGATGACGACGATGATAATGATCACAACAATCATCACCACCATCATCATCGTCGTCGTCGCCGCCGAAATTACGGACTGTATCTATTGGGAGATCCGAAGAGAGAGAGAGAGAGGAAGATGTTGAGAGATACGCAGGTGGGGTGGTGAGGGTATGAGGATCATCATCATCGTCGTCGTCGTCATCATCATCATCATTACCTTCATCACCATCATCGTCATCATCATCATTATCATCATCACCATCATCGTCATCATAATCATCATCATTAGCTTCATCATCATCATCATCATCATCCTCATCACCATCATCGTCATCATGATCATCATCATTAGCTTCATCATCATCATCATCATCATCATCATCATCATCGTCATCATCATCATCATCATCGTCATCATCATCATCATCATCGTCGTCGTCGTCGTCATCACCATCATCAGTGTTTACTGGATAAACAAGGAGCTATAAAATTAGTGACGGACCTGATAATGCACAATTATTCAACACACACGTTCTTCGAGACGGTTCAACTCGGTGTTGCATTGCTACAGGGAGGCAATGAAAGTTGTCAGGTTGATTGGTTGTCTGTCTGTCTGTCTGTCTATATCTCTCTCTCCTTCTCTCTCTCTCTTTTTTCTCTTTCTCTCTCTCTCACATACACTCGCCAACCAACCAATAGAATTCGTTCTACGCCTATATCGAGAATCGAAACTGCTCTGGGAAATTCCTGAACGTCCTTCAGGAGCGAATGAAGGAAGCGGAAATGGAGACGAAAACGAAAGTATCTCTCATCACCAACAACATCGTTTCCGGCAAATCTAGCATCGGATTCTACAGCATCTCTCATGATAATGATGGTGGTAGTTGTGATGATGATGATGATGGTGGTGGTGGTGGTGTAATAATAATAATAATAATAATAATAATAATATAATATATTATTATAATTTAAGTATTAACGTTTATACATTATCGTCGTCGTCGTCATCATCATCATCATCATCATCGTCATCATCATCATCGTCATCATCATCATCGTCATCGTCATCATCGTCATCATCACCAGGAATAAATCTATCGCAAGACCTTGCAACAACAACAACAGCAAACAGCAGCAACAACAACAACATTAACAGCAATAACAGATTGTCATTCACAGAGAGGGAGCTGGTGGCTATCAGACAAAGCTTCGACGAATGCGTCATTGATGACATCATGAACAAACATCACAACAACAACAACATAAACAACAACAACAACAACATAAACAACAACAACAACAACAACAACATAAACAACAACCATAATAACACTAACAGTAAGGGCTCGAAGGATTTGAGTGGGGTTTTAACTTTACCGCCAGTCGATATCTTAACTACTGGTAAATGAATGAATGAATTAATGAATGAATTAATTAATGAATTAATGAATAAATGAATGAATGAATGAACGAATGGAGAAATGATGGACATGAAAAATGCAATGAGATGTTGGCACAAAGAGAATGTGGTGTAAAGATTTTTGGTGGTGTTGGTGAAATGTGTATGTTGATAGATTTTTTTATGAAATTTTACGAAAATAATTCATAAAAGACATTCCTACAGTTTAATAATTGCGATAATAAACTCTGAAAATGAACAATATGTTCTGGAAGTCATTTTTTTTGGTATTACGTTGAAGAGGTAAATGCGGTCGTCTGATCATGTTCAAACTTCTCGAAGGTACTAATTAGACCCTCTGTCTGCCCTGCCATCTTGATCGAAAGAATAATTAAATTACGTTAATTTCTTGATGATGACCGAGGAGGTTAAAGAATTATGGCCTTAATTAAATAATGTGGTCATAATTAAATATTAGGGTCATAGTTAAATATTGTGGTCATAATTAAATATTGTGGTCATAATTAAATATTATGATCATAGTTAAATATTGCGGTCATAATTAAATATTGTGGTCATAATTAAATATAGTGGTCATAATTAAATATTATGATCATAACTAAATATTGTGGTCATAATTAAATATTATGGTCATAATTAAATAATTTTTTTTTATCAGCCGGGGAATCAGACTGTAGTCGGGGTGAGAAGTTGGTTGATTCGATGAAGGTCATGATGACGATCCTCAAATTTTTACAACTCCTGTGCGAGAATCATAACTCTAAACTTCAGGTTGTCACCATGGTGTTGATGATGGTGATGATTCATTCACTCGTTCATTTATTCCTTCTCTGACTACTTCTCCATCACTTACGAAGTTCAGAGAAGATCTCAAGACCCATCTGTTTGCAAAATTCATTGAGGAGCGCTTTATAAACTGATTGATTGATTGATTGATTGATTGATTGATTCATTCATTCATTCATTCGCTAATTCATTCATCCATTAATTCATTCACTATCATCATCACCATCATCATCATCACCATCATCATTACCACCATCACTATCATCATTATCACCGAACTGACAGAAAAATCATTCAAGAAATTATTGAAATCATTTTTGTTTTCATTATAAGATTTGGTTTATCGTAGCAATTCAACTGTTTTTTAGACAGTGCTTTTGAGAAACATTCTGTTTGTAATTAGCGCTATACAAATTTTCAAATAATAATAATTATCACAACCATTCCTTCTAGAACTTTCTGAGAACGCAGCCAAACAACAAGGTAACTTGCAACCTAGTCGGGCAGACGGTTAACTTTCTGGACAGCCTCTGCGGTGGAACTGCCGTGTCGCTTGGACTTCTCGGGGTTTTCGTAAATAGGTCAACAACAACAACAACAACAATAATAATAATAATAATAAAATATATTATTATTGTTGTTGTTGTTATTATTCATTCATTCATTCGTCCATTCATTCGTTCTTTCGTACGCTCTGCTCATTTTCATTAATTAATTAATCCATCGTACATTCCCTTGTTATTAGCGTTTCAAATTTCACGAACTTATTACTGTTTGTATTATCATTTTAATTGTTATTGTTATTATTGTGATTATTATTATTATTTTATAACTAGGTCAAACGTTAGCCTAGTCAGGCAGACGATTCGAACCATCGTCAAGTTCTGCCACGGGCCGTGTTTCGAGAATCAGGTCAGGTCAGATAATTAGGTCAAAGTAACAACAAAAACAACAACAATAATAATAATAGTTATTGTTATTATCATTATTATTGTTATTATTATTATTATTATTATTATGACAATCATCATCAGTACGAGGTGGCGATGAGAGAAAGTAACCTATTGGATACTGCTTCGACCCTGCTTACTGATGAGATCCAGCCATTGGCCGAGACAGACTTTATGGCCGTTCTGAAACTTAAGGTTATTATTATTATTGTTAATGTTGTTATTATTATTGTTGTTGTTGATGTGGTTGTCGCTGTTGTGGCTGTTGTGGTTTGTGGCTGTTGTGGCCGCTACTGTGGCTGCCGTTGGTCTTATTAATATTGATTGGAGTTCGTGGTCATTTAGTTGTTTATTCTTTCGTTCTTTCTTTTTCCTCTTTCTTTCGTTCGTTCGTTCATTTATTCATTCATTCATTTATTCATTCATTTGTTCGTTCATTCATTCATTCATTCATTCACTCATTCATTCACTCATTCATTCACTCATTCCTGCAGAACAGTACCTGCAATCTTTTACTATCTTTGATCGAGAGCCGGCACGATGACGTCATTGAGAATTGCATCCTCAATTATTTCGCGCCAGCTAAATTGGTTAATAATAAAAATTATAATTATTATTATTATTATTATTATTATTATTATAACGATGAACTAATTAATTAATAAATAATTTTTTTAATTGTAATTTTACTATATTTATGATTAATATTTTGGTTATTATTATCATCCTTATTGATTTTTTTTATAAAATTGCACAATTATCTATCTATCCATTCATTCATTTATTCATTCAACAATTCATTCATTCATTTATTCATTCATTCATTCATTCATTTATTCATTCATTCATTCCCCCAGATTGAAACGATAAAGAAATTGTACGATCTCAGTAACGCTGGCAGCAGTAGTAGTACTACTAATAGTAGTAGCGGCTTTGATAGTAGAAACAGCAGCAACAGTAGTAGTAGTCGAGGTAGTCGTAGTAGTAGCAGTGGTAGTGGTAGTAGCTTTCTTGGCGACGAAAAAATTGCCATTACTGATCGCAATTATTGCAAAATGGTCGGGCATAATGTGAGGCTGTTATATGCAAAGGTGAGTAAGCCTGATGATGAGGACGATGATGATGATGTTGGTGATGATTAAGGTAATGATGATAATGATGATGATGATGATGGTGGTGGTGGCAGTGGTGGTTGTGGTGGCGACTAAGACGAAGACAAAGATGGTAGTGATGATGATGACGACGACAAAGATGAATCTGTAAAATGAAGAAAGTTAATAACAACATAATCATTGCGTCATAGCATCATCGTCGTCGTCATCATCATAAGCAACAACAACAACATCACCATGAAAACCATCATCGTCGTCATCATCATTATCGCCATCGTCATCATCATTATCCTCATCATTTCAAGCTCTCTAGACATAGCAAAGAATTCAACAAATACATGAAAAGCCTAACTAATCCGCAAGCAACAACAACCATCAAACCGAAATCATCATCACCACCACCTTCATCATCATCATCATCATCAGCAACAACATCATCATCTTCTTCGCCATCATCACCATCATCATCATCATCATCATCATCATCGGCAATGGAAGCGATTGAATATTATGACAGTTGGACTGGCTCTATCGAAGTTGTCAAATCGGATAGGAGCATGGAGAAGGTTAGTTTTATTCGTTTATTTCATCGTTCTGTCGTTCATTTATTTCTTCATTTATTTATTTATTTATTTATTCATTCATTACATCATTCATTTGTTTATTCTTTTGTTCATTCATTCATTTATTTGTTCGTTCGTTCAATCATTAATTTTTTTTATCTTTTACCAACTAGCTCGTTCATTTATTAATTTGCTTTGCCATTTATCTGTTTCATTCATTCGTTCGTTTGTTCATTCATTCATTCACTCATTCATTCATTTTATTTAGGTAATATTTCCCATTCCGGACATATGTGGCTATCTTACATCTTCCACAAAGCACACGGTCCAGGTTAAAAGGATATTAAAAGGATAAATATAATAATAATTTTTATTATTATTTATTATTATATTTATTATAATAATTTAAAAAAATAATTTTTGTAGGTAACAGTTGAAAAGGATGAACGCGGGAGCAAGGTAAGTTTTTTTAGTTTTTTAATTTTTTTCTTATTTTTCTTCTTCTTCTTCTTATTATTATTATTATTTACATCATAATTATTTTTCATATTTTAATTATTAATATAAACTTTAACCTTATTGAGACCTTAACCTTATCAACTCTTCCGAGGTCCCGGAGTTTTTTAAGAGGCACGAGATGATGATGAAGGAGATGATCTGGCAGAAGAAGCTAAGGGGTAGGAAAAATCTAAATAATAATAATAATGATAATAATAATAATAATAATAATAATGATTATAATAATAATAATAACGATTATAATTACGATAATGATAATAATAATAATAATTCTTCACCGACAAATCCAACCACACATACTCACCTGTTAAGTTACTGCTACACGTTGTCTTCTTTCTATTTATATGCAACAAAGGCTATTTCATTGTTTTTACTATTCATTCATTTAGTCATCAGTGTTTGTGTTATTTATATGACTTGTACCATTCCCGATGTTGTCACCCCCCCACCCTGGACAGAAAAGTGGTTGCTCTCGTGGTTCAGCCGGAAGTTAACTTTCTGGAAGATGACGTCATTCTATTTGACTGTCTTGCTGAATGTCTTGGTGGCCTTCTGCTTTCCATTTAGCGATTATAACTTCGGTCAGTGATTGCTACTTTGAAAATAATAATTTTTATTTTTAGTAGTAGTTGTTGTAGTAGCAGCTGTAGTAGTAGCAGCAGCAGCAGTGGTAGTAGTAGTAGTAACAGTAATAGTAGTATTTTTGATTGATGACAGATATTATTAATTAATATTTGTATGGATCTTCTATTCATAGATCTAAATGTTTTCAACCGACCAATCAGATATCGACTACAGAGTCTCATACGCAATTTGGTCACTCATACCATTACTTCTCGTCCAATCAGCGTTCAGGAAAAATTTTAAGCCACTCTTATTGGTTGCCGTCATCGTCGTTAGAATGGTACTTTCGCTTGGGGTTATCAACACGTTTAAAACGTTCGGAATTTTGAACGTAAGAGTTTTTTGTTACTACTACTACTACTACTCCTACTACTATTACTACTACTACTGCTGCTACTGCTACTACTACTGCTGCTACTACTGCTGCTACTACTGCTGCTACTACTACTGCTGTTGCTGCTGCTACTACTACTACTACTACTACTACTGCTGCACCTGCTGCTCTGCTGCTACTACTACTACTACTAATTTAACTACTAATAATGATAATAATATTATTCTATTATTTTATTTATTATATTTTAAATAATTCCATTAAACAATTAAATATTTTTATAAAATGTTTATCTAATTCAACTACTGATATTGATAATAATATTATTTTAATAGTTATATTTCAAATAATTTCATTAAATAATTGAATCATTTCATAAAATGGTTAATAAACTCAACCACTAATAATGATAATAATATAATTTTTTTTTATTAATTATTATATTTTAAATAATTTCATTAATTGTAGTAATTGTTAGCGATGGTCTTTATATCTCATGTAGATAGCCAATAGTTTGGCTTGCATGGTGAGCTCTCTCGGTAACAATGGAGTACTTCTGAAGAGAAGAGATGAGATGCTAAAAGATGCCAGTTTCATTCATCACTCCATCCATCTATCATTCGGACTGGCGGGAATCTGTTTGCACGAGTTTTTCTATAGTTTACTGGTTGGTTGATTGATTGGTTGATTGGTTGGTTGGTTGTTTGGTTGTTTGGTTGGTTGGTTGGTTAGTTGGCTAGCTGGCTGGCTGGCTGGTTGGTTGGTCAGTCAGTTTTTTATCATCACCATCGTTTCATCCCCATCATCGTTTTCGTCATCACCACACCATCATCACTTCCACGTCCATCACCCCACCATCCTCACCCCACCATCCTCACCCCACCATCCTCACCCCACCATCCTCACCCCACCATCCTCACCCCACCATCCTCACCCCACCATCATCACCTCACCATCCTCACCAGCTTCTAGACATCGTCTACAGAGAAGAAACACTGATGAATGTGATCAGGTCAGTGACGAAAAATGGCCGGTCCATCCTGCTGACCGCCATCTTGGCCGTCATACTCATCTACCTCTTCTCCATTGTCGGATTCGTATTCTTCCGGAATGATTTTCTGTCCGATGTCGATGTCTTGGTGAGAAGAGATGCCGATGATGGTGATAGTAATGGTCAGTATTTGTGGTGATGATGATGATGGTGGTGGTGATGATGGTGATGATGGTGATGGTGATGGTGATGATGGTGATGGTGGTGGTGATGATGATGATGATTGATGATGATGACGATGATGATGCTTTTTTTTAATATTAATAATAATATTACAGCAGGCAACTCCATTCAGACGTTCTGCTACCAAAACACGAATAATAATAATAATAATAATAATAATAATAATAATAATAATAATAATAATGATAATGATGATGATAATGATAATAATCTTCATCCCCATCTTCATCGTCGTTCCATATTCTTCGCGACAACAAATGTTTCGCTTGGTTATCTGAACGAAGACCCCATAAAAATCCTCATCAACGACAACACCAGCGATGACGTCATTAACAACAACAACAACATCAGCGTTGACGTCATCATCAACAGCAACAACAGTGATGACGTCATCAGCAACAACGTCAGCAACAACATCAACAGCAATAATGTTAACATCACCACCGCCAACAACAACAACATTAACAACGCCAATCATATAGACAACAACCACAACCGCAACAACAACCACAACAACAACCGCAATAGCAACAACAACAACAACCACAACAACATCAACAACAACTTCAACAACAACTTCAACAACAATAACAGCAACAACATCAGTAACATCGGCTCTATCCGGCGCTTATGTAGTAACGAAAGAATTGTTAGCACCGGTAAATAATAATAATAATAATAATAATAACAACAATGATAGTAATAACAATAATAATAACTATAGTAATAATAATAGCCATAATGAAAACATCCTTTTTTTCCCATTTTAAAACACATATTGTAATTGTGAAGTTAAAGTAATAAAATTTATAACGTAAATTATTATAGATATTCTACAATGCTGGCCATACAATTTTTTAAATGGTCACAAAGAGAAATAGAATCAGCATTAAATTACGTTCAAATCGCGTTCCTATCACTGTAAATTGTGGGAAATTTCAAATGAATAATCTATTCAAATAATTCAAATAATTCAAATAATAATAATAATAATAATAAAAATACGGAGTTAATTAAACTCCTATGAAAAGGGTCAGACCAAATTAAACTAATTAATGACAGTCTAAAATATTTAAAAAGAAAACATAGCGGAAAAATTTCAAATGAATAATCTATTCTAATAATAATAATAATAACAATAATAATAATAATAAATAAATAAATAATAATATTATCGTAAATATTAATATTTTTATAATTATTCAGAATTGGCGCCAAAATTGTTGTTTGAAAACCGGCGGGAAAAGCATTGCGACAGTCTGCTGATGTGCATCGTGACGGTTCTGAACGAAGGCCTGAGGAATGGCGGGGGAATCGGAGATGTGCTAAGGAAACCGAGTTACCAGGTTATGATGATGATGATGACGACGATGATGATTTACTATCTTCTTCATCATCATCACCATTATCCGGAAGTGAAATTATCACCATTATCATGATGATGACGACGATGATGATAATGACGATGATGGTGGTGATGACCTACTCTTCATCATCATCTCCCTCACCACCATCATCATCTCCCTCACCACCATCATCATCGTTATCAGGAGCCGCTATTTTACGCGCGTATAATCTACGACCTGCTGTTCTTCTTCATCATCATCATCATCACGTTGAACCTGATCTTTGGGGTCATCATCGACACGTTCGCCGATCTGAGGAGTGAGAAGCAGCAGAAGGAGGAGGTGCTGAAGAATTCATGCTTCATCTGCGGTCAGTCAGTCAGTCAGTGGATGGATGGATGAGTGAATAAATGAATGAATGAATGAATGAATGAAAGGGCCCACACACACAGACACACACGCACGCACACGCACACACATACATAGGCCTAGAAAGACAGTCATTCGACAACAAAGTGACGTCATTTGAAGATCACTGCGCGGAGGAACACAACATGTGGAACTACTTTTATTTCATCGTCCATTTGAAAGTAAAGAATCCCTTGGAGCACTGCGGCATTGAGCGATACGTTCATGAACTTGTTAAAGTTTGTCGATTGGTTTATTGATTGATTGATTGATTGTTTGTTGATGGATTGGTTGGTTGAGTCAATGGATTGACTATTTGATTAATAGGTTGGTTGAATGATTGATCAGTCGGTGGGTTGATAAACGAGTGAATGAATGAGTGGATGTACGAATCAATAAATGAATGCATGAATGAGAGCAGGTTTTCTGATTGGTTGGTTGATTGATTATTCGAATCGTTGAATGGCCTATCGACCGTCCAATCAAATTCATCTAACTCCACCTTCTCGACCAATCAAATAACACCATTCCTAGGAAAAAAATCTCGATTGGGTGCCGCACTTGAGGGCAATGTCCTTGAGTGAAGGTGAAGACGAGGAAAAGATGAATATTGATGAGCTGGAGAGCATACGCAATCAGATCGTGGACATCAACAGCCTGACCGCCCAGATGGCCAATCAAATTCAGGAACTTAAAGAACAAATGATTTGATTGGCTAGTTTGAATTTCTACTAGTTGTACAATCTGATTCAGGGTAGAGAGATTTTATCTGGTAACCAATCACATTCAAGAGTTATAAGAACAAACTATCTGATTGGCCGATTTGAAATTTCACCCCTTCTTAACTTTTTGAATAATTTATTCTGCAAATAAGCGATTAATTATAACAAACACTTATTTTAAATTTTACAAAATGTGATTTTTGACGTGGCTTGTGAAACTTGATGAGATCTCTCTGATCATCATTCATTCAATTATCTCATAGCTACATAGATAGATCAATTTCATTGACTTATTTCATGGAATAATCATCATGATTCTTATTCTTTTAACATTCACCACCATGATTTTGAGGTTAAATTATCGCACGCACAAAACACAAAGAGAGAGAAAGATAAATATGAATATAGAGAGAAAGAGAGAGAGAGAGGGAGAGAGAGAAGGAGAAAGAGGGAGGGGGGAATAACTCGTTTTTAAAACAAACTTTATTCAACGAACTAACTGACGACAGCGTCAAATAATATTGAATAATAAATTTTAAAACACGAAATGACTGTTTTATTCATATGAAAAAAAAGCTTAAAAAAACATTCTGTTCGAACCACGGACAAAAAAATGAACCAAAATTTGACAAATAACGTAAAAGCAACGTATCTATCTATCTATCTATCTATCTATCTATCTATCTATCTATCTATCTATCTATCTATCTATCTATCTATCTATCTATCTATCTATCTATCTATCTATCTGACTGTCTGTCTGTCTGTCTGTCTGTCTGTCTGTCTTTCTGTCTGTCTGTCTGTCTATCCATTCACGTTCTCACATCAAATTATTGTCATCAAAAAAGATTAACAACAGCCTCAACAGCAAGCAGTATCTTATGCAAAGCAGCTGAAACATCTATTCTTTCTCACAGCTACGCCAGCAAATAGATGCTGCTACTACCATTGCTACAACTACTTAGCTTGAAGTCATGGCAGTAGCAGCTGAATTAACAGCTACCATATCGTCGCCAAAAATCGGTTGCGCAGTAGCTGAAGCTGCTGTCGTATCAGCTGTGCCAGCAGCAGCAGAATTCGCCATGTTGGTTTCGTCTTCTTTTTCGTATGCCTTCTCAGACGGGGTCACGACGACACCGTTCCATAGAGTGACGTCATTTACGATATCTGTGTGAGTGTGTGTTTGTGTGTTCGTTGTGTGTGTGTTTGTGTGTTCGTCGTGTGTGTGTTTGTGTGTTCGTTGTGTGTGTGTTTGTGTGTTCGTTGTGTGTGTGTTTGTGTGTTCGTTGTGTGTGTGTTCGTTGTGTGTTTGTGTGTGTTCGTCGTGTGTGTGTTTGTGTGTTCGTTGTGTGTGCGTGTGTGTGCGTGTGAATGATAATAATGACGATGACGATAGTTCAATTCTTGCACGGTGATGATAGTTCAATTCTTGCACGGTAAGAGAAACATCAACCGCAAATACAACGTCCGGTAGCAGCAACAAAAAGCTCAATAATAACAACAATAATAATGATAACAATAATAACAAAAATGACAAACAACAAGAACAATAATAACCAAGGTTCTTCTTGAACCCAAGGAGGTACATGAAGCCTCCATGTGATAAGACTCTCAACAGAGTTTGGGCCGTGAAGCAAACCTGATCCTGATAGTGATGGCAGCATTTATTATTATTATTATTATTATTACCAGTAGTAGTAGTAGTAGTAGTAGTAGTAGTAGTAGTAGTAGTAGTAGTAGTAATAGTAGTAGTAGTAGTATTAGTAGTAGTAGCAGTACACACACACACACACACACACACACACACACACACACACCACATGCACACACACACACAAACAAACGAAACGAAACGAAATTTTATTTGCTTCTCAAAATTGAAAATTAAAAGAAACAAACATAAATATGTAAGCATAGATGCAAGCACAAACCTGCTGCTCCATAGACATGACAGTGTGGACTCTCACGTTGGGCTTGTCGGCGCACGGATCGAATATTCCCTGTGATCCGGGGAGGAAGAAACCGGAAGATAAAAGTTGGAGACAACGTCTGCGTGGTTATGATGACGATGATGACGATGATGATTGTGACTATGATAGTGACGAACACTCACGCATTCACTCGCCCACTCATCACTCACTCACTCACTCACTCACTCATTCACTCACTTATTCACTCAATCAATCAATCAATCGATCAATAAATCAATCGATCAATCAGCCAGCCAGCCAACCTAATTGCAATATTGATTGACAGCGGTGTTCGTTGTGGATTGACCATAACACAGTAATGGGACTAAGAGGAATTATTTGGAAAAATGTATTATGATATATGACTATACTAAATAATAAAATAAAAATTCCTTCATTCATTCGTTCATTCATTCATCCATTCTTTCATCCATTCATTCGTTCATTCATTCATCCATTCATTCGTTCGTTCGTTCATTCATTCATTCATTCATCTCCCCTTTCTCATTCATCATAATAATAATAATAATAATAAGCAACAAAGAGTTTCTAACAAAAACATCGATGATCCATGGGGTGAGAGGTTGGAAGCCTTGGAATCTAATAACAACAACAACAATAATAATAATAATAATAATAATAACACATACACACACGCGCGCGCGCACACATATACATACAACAACAGTAAAAACAACACTAAAACCATTTCTCATGTCTTTTGGAAGTCACATACAAATGCATACCAAACGAACAAACATACTTACACACAAACACACATACACACGCAAACATAAACACACACACACACAAACACACACACATTTACAAAAAAGCACGTACATACAAACAAGCATACTTACACACAAACACACACACTGACAAACAGGAATAGTTACACACACACGCACACGCACACACACGTACATACAAAAAGACAACCAACCTATTTCTGAGATCGCTTAGCAGTCGAACTAGGACCTTGACAGTTGAGTGGCAGGCATTCTCCTCAAACCACCTCGTTCTACGGATACTCAACAGATGACCTTCCATCATCTTGGAATCCACTGTGTGTGTGTGTGTGTGTGTGTGTGTGTGTGTGTGTGTGTGTGTGTGCGTGCGTGTGTGTGAATGTATATACGCAAGTGAACTTCTACTAAATTAATTAGTAAATTAGTGGATGGATGGATGGATAAACGGTTGAATGAATGAGTAAACTGATGTGTGAATTGATGCATGTATGAATGAATCAAGAAATGAATGAATGAAAGAGTGAACAAACGAATGAATAAAAGAATTAAAGAACGAATGAATGTACAAATGTGTGTGTGTGTGTGTGTGTGTACTATTAAGATCATCATTATGATACTTTAAAAACATTACGATCCTTCAAAAACATTACCATCCTTTAAAAACTTAACTAACATTCTAGCACACACACAGCAAACAAAAACACAACAAAGACGACGACGACAAAGACGACGACAACAACATCACTGACGGTGCAAACTGGCGTCAAGAAATTTGAAGTTAGGCGGGATGGTAGTAACGTAGACCCTGCTCACGGCTTCATGGTTCGTTATTTCAAATCCACACTCGTTCAGAGTGGCACCGAAAGCCTCACGGGGACTCGAGACCATCATGTCCTGGTAGACCTGAAAAATGTTGATTGGTGGGTTGCTGTTAGCTGGCTGGCTGGCTGTTGACCGTTCGGACGGTTGATTGGTTGGTTGATGGGAAGTGATTGGTTTTTTGATTGGCTGTTTGTTGGCTGATGATTGGGAAAGTGGTTGATTGATTGATTGATTGATTGATTGATTGATTGACTGATTGATTGATTGATTGGCTGATTGATGTGTGATAAATAATCAGAAAATCAAATAAGAGTTGATCACCACCAAACAATTTAATCAACCAATCAATCAATCAATCAATTAATCAATCAATCATTCAATCAACCAATCAATCAATCAATCAATCAATCAATCAATCAATCAATCAATCAATCCACCAGCCAACCTTATTAGACAGACTCTGGACAGCTTCGAAGGTGGGAAGAGTTTTGAGGACCACAACAATCTCAGCTACATTGTCACCAGACAGCAGAGTTCCTAATAATGTTATTACATGAATTAGTGGATGGATGGATAAATAAATGAATGAATGGATGAATGAACGAACGAATGAATGAATGAAGCAATCAACCTTTTTTATGGTTGCCAACTTGTCGAACTTCATCAACGACCTAAAAGAGTTTACAGAGATTATTAAAATTCATTCGCTCATTCATTAGCCCATCCATCCACCCATCCAAAATCTTCATTCATCCATTTTCATCATCCATCAATCCACTAACAGCAGCATCGAATGTCCCCGAAGCGATGACCAAGTTGTCGAGGACAGTTTGAACACTGGTCACCAAACTGAGCACTGAAGCCTGTGTTTTTGCATTAGGAGTCAATTCTTGGACCTTTTTTAGGAGAGCCTAAAAATAAAAATTGTATTCGTTTATTCATTTATACATTCATTCTCTCAATCAGTTATTCATTCATTTTTTGATTTATGAAGGAACACTTCATCTGATTGTCTGTTCATTCAATTAATTATTCAATTATATATTATTCTTATTCATCATTCATACATTTTCTTGGATTAGTCACTTATCAATCATTCATTCATTCATTCATCCATTTATTGATTCAACAATTCATTTACCCATTCATTCATTCACTAATTTCACTAACTTCTGTGAACATCTTATCATCAGTTGGGGGTTTAACTCTTTGAAACAGGTTTTCACACTGAAGTTTTTTTTTTAAAAGTTTAAAATAAGAATATCAATAATAACAATAATAATAACAATAATAATGGTACCTGGATGATGTCAAAGGTTACATGAGGCACAAAAGTTTTTTGGCTAAGAAAATAAAATTAAAATTTATAAATTTATTAACCAATGTCTAACTCTCTAACTAAATTAAATTCCAAATTGAAAAGCACTATTATTCTATACTATAATCTACATTTAATATTCCATTTACTTATTTTTATTAAAAAATAAAATTAGAAAACTAAAAAAATGGACCCTAACTTTGGTTTGAAACCTCCCCTCCTAGATGGCGTCCTATTCATGTTCATGGCATTTCCCTGGTGCATTCGGCCTCTCATCATTGGTCAAAAATCACTAATCAATCACTAATCAATTACAACTCAATCAAACCACAAATCTTTAGCGGCCGAGCGATAAATAGATATCAACAAGCATAGACAAAACACTAAAACCAAATTTGTAAAATAATGAAATTCAAAATGATATAGTGTATATACAAGTGTATATACAAAGTATGCGGTACATTTTTTTAGACTTTCGTTCAATAAAGTATGTCTATTATTCACACCACAAGCGACACTTTCACATTATGTACGCACAAGAAAGCCACGAACCATAGAAGTATGAGATGGTCTTGGTGTTTCTGGCAAGCAGTCTTCGAACCTTGCCATCACGTAATGGCAGCTGGAAATATGACGATTCTGCCAAAGAGCTAACTCGCTGATTCCACGACAAGCAATTTAGATAAATACGTTTGACTCTTTTTAAACATGTTAAACAAACAGACCCCCAATAAAAGATCACAAACATAACAATATAAAGGAAAAAACAAACACTGGGCACCTGGCAAACCAAAATTTTCCTAATTATAACAAATCTACAATCAAATTTCTGCAACAAAACAAAAAACAAGTTTTAAAATTAAACGTAAATAAATAACAGTCAGTCAGTGATCGAATCTTTGAATAGGATGACAACAATGATGATAAGAAAAGAAATAACAATAATGATAACAACAATGACATTAATGAATTAATGACCAAATTACAGTGAAAAACGTCATCGAGTGAGATTAGGACAATTTCCTAGCGTCGATCCCAATCACATCAGCAACATTCGTTACTCCTTCTTTTCTGCAATTGAAAAATGGAAATCTTTTCATTCAGAAATTGCTAATGTTGAACATTGAGCAACACAACAGGCCAGCACACGAATTTAAAAAATATAAGACATTTTGAACGTTCTGAAGGTTTTATCAAAAGCGTAAAAACAAACCAACATTAAACAACACAGCAAAAAATATTAACTCCTAACTCTAATTTACCTGATTTTAAACTCTTGATTTTTCTCACAAGTTTCGTAGTCTAGACTTTATCTTTGATTCTAGTAGGTATGTCTCTGTCTTCCCAGATTAATAGTATTGCTAGAAGTTCTTACTTTCATCTACGTAGAATAAAAAACTTTTGCCTTTTCTTGACAATCTTACTCTTCTCCTTCTTGTTACTTCTTTAGCCTTATCTAGGATTGGTTATTTTAACTCGCTCTACTATGTTCTTCCTGATTCTACACTACATCCTTTATGTAAATCTTTTAACTCTGCTGCTCGTGCCACTTTCTTTTCTTATATCTTGCACTGGCAACCTATAAAGTATAGAATAATTTTTAAAATTTGCACAATTATCTATAAGTCGCAATCTAAATTCTCTGACTACTTCTCCTTCACATACGAAGTTCAGAGCGGATCTCAAGACCCATCTGTTTGCAAAGTCCACTGAGGAGCGCTGTTGAACATCTCGGAAATAACGCTTTATAAACTATTTGATTGATTGATTGATTGATTGATTGATTGATTGAAGAACAAATAAACAAAAGTATGATGGCAATGGTGCCGAAGCACACCCACTATCTCAATTTATATCATGGTTTTGGATAGATTTAAAACCTCTAGATGAATTTCATGAGTTTGGTTTCAAACAGCAAGCTCTTACTCCACAACAGCTATAATTTACCGAATTAAAATGAAAAAAAAAACAGAATCTTTTATGTGGAAATCACGAGAAAACGTGGAAAAAACAAGCAAAGATGTTCGCCGGAAGACTTCCGCCTGTAACAACGAGACACAAACTTTAAAATTTCCGACAACTCATTATTAATCCTGGCCACAATGGATGGACCCTGAAGCGCCAGGGCAGAGTAGATTTGAACCAGGGAGGCACCGGCCCTTATCTTTTTGTAGGCGTCTTCGCCAGAACTGACTCCGCCCACACCTATGATCGGCAGTTTACCTGGGGTTGAAAAAATTAAAAATTTTAATCTATAAATGTTACATTTAAATATTTAAATGTTACGCTATTAATAACAATTTGATATAATATAAACAAATACGTATAATATACAAATCGGTAATTTAATATGTGAATAAATGAATGTTTGATTTGTCAAACCGACCAACCAGAGGTAAGCAAATACATTCGCTTAATGGCATTGGTCGAAATATCTTTCAATGGCTCGCCACTAAGACCGCCCACTTCGATCCTATTGGACGAGAGAAGTTTCATCGACCTGTCGACAGTTGTGTTGCTTATGATTAGGCCATCGACTCCAAACTGGTGGCGGGAAAATTTGATAATGATTATAAAGATAATAAAAAATGATTGGATGGAAGATTAAGACGTCACATTTCACATAGATAATTAATACACGGAATAAAATTTATGACGATTCTATGCTGTAAACGTCATAGTAATTAAATTTAACTTTATTCATTACTCACTAACCCAAACTGACATAAGAAAGCGTAAATAAAAACAAGCAAGCACCAATCAAACTAGGATAAATTGCACTTCAGTACTCTTAAAAATCCCTAACTTTAGGTTTCAGGACAACCTCAGCAACGTCTTTCATATCGTCAGCTGTAAGATCTGGTGACAACTTAACTAACAATGGCCGTCTGCTATCTGCCGGTAAACTGTTTCTACAATCAACTATCTAGAAATTGTGAAGATTAAAAAATCTTGGCTGATTGTAATGAGTTTATGATAAATTATACAATTTTGAAAAAGATACAAACATACAAAACAGACATACAAACATACATAAACAACAAACCACCAATAATAAAATACAAATACATAAATTAATCCCCTAACCGTAATCCTAGCCCAAACAAATATCACACCTTTTGTAACAACTTTTCCAACTTTGCCTTTCCCTGCAGCGATCTCAAACCGGGTGTGTTGGGACTTGAGATATTGACCACCAAATAATCCGCTGGACCCTGCAAACTCTTCTCTGGTGGGCCCTCCTCTGATTGGCCCCGCTGAGAAAATTTCACGATACCTTTGATGTAATCATCTGATTCGTCTTCTGTCATTTTGTTCTTCCCTAGGTTTATTCCAACTATACCTGCAATAGAATAATAATAAAAATAATAATAATAATATTATGATTAATAATATTAATGTTCACAATAATAATAATAACAACAACCATTTGATTTCGTCCTGGATTTTTTTAAATTTTCAAGAACTGAATTATGGCCAGAACTGTTGAAGCCATATCTGTGATGACGACGACGACGACGATGATGACGATTATGATGATGATGAAAGATGTGTCAAAAATGATGATGATGATGAAAGATGTGGCAATGATGATAATGATGATGACGACGACGATAAAATAATAAACCTAGACATTACTACAATGGAGTTTGATGAAAATAAGTTATATGAAAATAATATATAGAACACACATATCCAAAGAAATTGACATATATACAAGCACACACTCACGCACACACAAAACACACGCACGCACGCACACACACACACACACACACACACACACACACACACACACACAGATAAACACACAAAACAAACACAGAAAAACTTTAAACCTAAACCCAACTGAACAAAGACCTATTAATAATAGCAGAATCCTCTTTCAGCCGAAAAACACGAGGCTGGGGATTTCCAGGCTGCGGTTCTGGCGTTACCGATCCCACCTCGACAAATCCAAATCCCATTTTGAGCAGGCCATCGACTGCCTCGCCATCTTTGTCAAATCCGGCGGCCAGACCAATGGGATTAGTGAATTCCATGCCCCAGAGATTGCTTTTCTGAAACAAAATGGCAGATCGTGATCATTATTATCATTGTTGTCATTTTTATCATTATTAATGTCAGTGTTACTATTCAATTGATGTAATAATAATAATAATAATAATAATAATAATAATAATAAAAAAAAAAAGAAACTAACCAATTCAGGATGGTCAACTACCTTAACTCTGGGTACTAAACCATGTTTTGCAAACCAGATGGCAGTTTTGTGAGCTGATTTTTTTTCAGAAATATTTAATAAGAATAACAAATAATTATTATGATGATGAAAAATAACAATAATTTTTATACAATGTTTAATGCTTAAATATATACATATGCACATACATATGATATGTGTATTATATGTTTTTAGGATGAACAGTGCAAAAAATAGATAAAAAAACCAAAAATCTAACTAACCTAACTTCTAATTTTACTGACATGAATATTCATAATATAAATTTTATATATAATATATAACCTTTTTCTCCATCCATTGTAGCATGTATGATTGGCATAATTACATTTCTGTACCAGGCGTCATTCCCCCAATATGTCGCCATACTAGCTGCTACAATGTGGCCCCCAACAAAAACTTGAATGGCCGACTTTAGCCTTGACTTATTTATGTAGAAATGTTGTAGTGATTAGTAATTAGTTTGTAAAAAATAATTAATATTTAAAAAACATGAAATAATTTTTCATGTTTTTAAATATATATTATATTTTACTTAATTATTAAATAAATAAAATTAATTATTTTTAACTTAAATTTAAAATATTTAGCAATGAAATGAATGATTTGTTGACAGTTGACACATTTGATACTTATACTTAATTTACATTACAGACTTTCAAAAAATAAATTAAATCACGAATGAATTAAATATTAAAAAAACTCAACTGATTTATTCATCGCCCGGTTCATGGCTGGGTTTAATTTTAATTTGCCGTCTGCCGAAATTAGGAATTCTTAATTAAATACGATGAAAACTTTAAAAATACTCAATAAAATTAACATTTAAAAGTGCATCTAAAAGAGAATGCATAAAAGTGCATTTTAAAAAAAATTTAAAAGTGCATTTACGTAAAAAGCATTTAATTTTTCAGATCATGTAGCGTATATCACATGGATAAAGTATCTATATGTATCCGTGGATACCAATGAACCATTTTTTAGGTTTGATAACATACAGTCTTCAATATGTAATAACAACAACACATTTTACTTTTATCACAAATTTTATGCATTTTTCATAGCATAAATATATATATCTATAAATGTTATATAACAAATCAGTAATCACCACTTTAATGTTAAACGTTATAGTTTGGAAAAGAAATGATATTTAACAAGCAAGACAGAATTCTGAATGAAAAATCCTTTGAAAAATTTCGGAAAATTCATTCTCATTTCATTAATCGCCATTCTACCTATTCATTCATTCTGTCATTTATCTGACCAACGACCACCAAGTCATTCGTTCGTTCATCCATTCATTTTTCTGACTGTCCATCAAATCATTCATATTCATTCATCCAGTCAATCATTCATTCATCCGTTCGTTCGCTCCTTCAATCAATATACCAATCAACCAACCAATCAATCAACTAAACAAACAATCAATCAATCAACCAATCAATCACAAACATCTCAATAATCAATTGAGAAAAAAAACACTTTATTAAGCTATTAAACTTAATGGTTAATGTCAAACTAGCAAGAGCAAACACTTGTAATATTATTATTATTATTATTATCAATTATTATTATTATCATTTATTATTATTATCATTTATTATTATTATCATTTATTATTATTATTTATTATTATTATCATTTATTATTATTATTTATTATTATTATTAAACTTCCACAAGAAACAAAAAAGCTGAAATAATTTAACTCTACAACGTAGTAACGTAATAAAGAGTAGTTCTCAATTTATTATTATTATTACTTTTATTGCTGGTATTAAAACTTAAGTATTATTATTATTATTATTAATATTATTGATATTATAATTATTATTACCACTAAAATTGTAAAACTAAATTACCAATAAAATATTGATGAAATGCAAACGTAAACTTCATTCATTTAATTACTTCGTTTATACACTAGTTCATTCGTTCGTCGATTTGTTTGCTCATTCATTCATTCATTCATCCATTCATTCATTCATTCATTCATTTATTTAATCATTCGATCATTCATCTTTTTTGGAACTCTGCTGATCCTGGCCGATCGCCAACTTCTTCTGAGTGAGTGAGAAAAAGAAGAATGGTGAAAATTTCACAAAAAATATACAAGCATATATACAAAAACATGCACACATACAAACAAACAAACATACATACAAATATACACATATAAACAAACAAACATACACGCATACATACATACAAACAAACAAACAAAACAAACATACACACCTGCAATTTTTCCATCTCAGCCATCAGTCTATCATATTCTCGATTTGTTGCCTCTCCTTGCTTTCTCAAGACTTCTTCATTGAGTTTGCTCTGCTTAAGTTCTGAATATTTTATTTAATAGGTCATCATCATCATCATCAACCTTATCATCAACCTTATCATCATCATCACCATTATGGCCCTCATCATCATCATCATCACCGTCATCCCACTCACCGTTTATCAACTTTTCATTTTCAGTTTTAACTTTCTCCAACTTCTCAACGGCTTCCTTCACTGATTTTCCCTCCTGGATCTGATCATTCATTCATTCATTCGTTCATTTATTTATTCAATTATTCATTCACCAATCAATCAAACCAACTTATCAGCGATTTCATTTGATCTTCAAAAGTAGAGCCAACCAACCAACCAATTAAAACCACAAACAACAACAACAACACACGTTTAGACGGCATTTTCCCCGAGATCGGGGGTTGCCGTTTGGCTACCTATGATGAAACCGAAATACCCCTCGACTCCATCCACATCTGTCACTCGCCTCAGTACCACGCAACCCCGCTTTCACCCTGTCCTTCTCCACCTGCTCTCTCCATCCCAACCGCGGACGACCCCTTCCTACCACTCCTTCAACCTCGAACTCCAACGCTCGCCTAATCCCGACCCTTTCATCCCTTCTCAACACATGTCCATACCACCGCAATCTCGATCTCCTTATCAATGTCACAATGTCCTCATTCAGTCCCATCATTGACATCAGCTCTGTACTACTCCTCCTATCCTTCACTTTAACCCCACACATCATCCTCACCATAGCTCTTTCAGCCCTCTGCAGTACACTTTCCTCCTCTCTCCTCAACACCCAAGTTTCACCACCATATATCATCGCTGCTCTCACACATGCTTTATATACCCTCCCTTTCATCTTCACTGACCATTTCTTTCCACACAATACCCCACCCAGTTACCTAAATTTCATCCATCCCACACGAACTCTAGCCGTAACTGCGCTCAAACATCCTCCATCCGCATTCAGCTTATCCCCT